AGCCCTGCCCCCCCATCCTCCCTGCCCTGCTGCAGTACGGCTCCGTAGAATAACCCTCCACCTAGAATTAACCCACTCGGGACGCTCCTCAGCTAGATTTGGTGGCCGCATCTCGGTGTCAGCATCTTTGTTTCCCCCAGCATGCTCCCCCCTCGCAGGGGACGGGAGTGCCGGCTGCAGGAGGTGGTTGTGGGCAAGGGATGGGGGGGAAGCCTGGGCAGGATGGCCCCAGCACGGGCTGCCCCGTGCCTGGGCTACCAGCCCTTCCCTGGCACTTCCCCGTGGGTGCCCATGCCCCACGGCAGGGGGGCTGCCCCTGTGCCTGCGGCAGTGGCTGGCTGGGCGGGGGGAGTCACCCCCTGCTCATTTGTACACGTGTGGTTGGGAGGGGGGAGGCCCTGCACCTAATTATATTAAGAATATTTCTATGTTGTGGCTGTCGTTATTGCAGTGTCCAGATTTTGCCTGCCCTATACCTCTGGGGAAGAGCCCAGCAGAGGGGGTTACATCAAGGCTGGGGTGCCTCAATGCCTCCTGTGTGCCCCCCAGCTTTGGGAGAGATGGTGAAAACCAGTTCTCCCCCCAGCCCTGGCTCACCACACTCTCCTGTCCAGCATGGAGCAGCTCATGGAGCAGAAACGGTCCTGCCACACTGAAGAGGGGCCAGACATTGCCCCTGCTAAATGTGGGGTCGTCCCTGCAGCACAGGGTGCGTGCGCCCCACTCCATCAGAGAGGTGAGGGGCTTGCTTTGCCTTGGTTCCCCAGCCCAGCCTGCGAATGTGGTTCCATTTTTGGGGGTCCCAGTTGTGTGTTTTCACTCTGGGATGTCTGGTATCACCCCCGCCTTCACTCCTCAGCCCGTGGTTTATTCTAGAAGACAATTCACTCACAAGTCTTTTTCCCACTCCATCAGAGAGGTGAGGGGCTTGCTAATGCTTTGCCTTGGTTCCCCAGCCCAGCCTGCGAATGTGGTTCCATTTTTGGGGGTCCCAGTTGTGTGTTTTCACTCTGGGATGTCTGGTATCACCCCCGCCTTCACTCCTCAGCCCGTGGTTTATTCTAGAAGACAATTCACTCACAAGTCTTTTTCAGTTCAGCTTTAGTTAGCAGCAGTAGCCACACAAGCCTCGAGTCCTGCTGCTGTCAGCTTGTGCAAAGCTGTGACCTTTCCACATCGGGCCAAAGCTGCCCTGGACTGGGGGCCAAGCACCTCTCCTGGCCCTGCTGCTGCCCTGGCCGTGAGCCCCGTGGCGGTGCCACCGGCATTCCCAAACAGGCATGCAACTCCTGCTGTCCCATCGCAGGCCACATCCAGCGCGGGGCCAGCTGGTGGCAGGTCCAGACCCTTGTGACACCCTCACAGGTCCCACGCCCGGTGGCAGGCACTGCCTGGGCCCCTGCAGGCCCTCTGCTCCTCCTGGTGCTGCTGCCGAATCAGGAGTGCTCGCGCCCCTCGTCCTCGTAGGCAATGGCGATCCCTCGTCGGCCCTGCACAGCCTTGGAGACGGGTGTCTGCCCCAGCTGCTGCTCCAGGCCCTGCCAGCTGCGGGACTCCAGGAAGGAGGCTGGGAGGAGAGAGAAAGGGAATTGTTACTGGGAGCATGAAGGTGGCACTGCCCCTGCACCGGTGAAATCAAATCACAAACCAGCAGGGCTGATCTCCGCGAGGGCCCGCGTCTGGTCCCTGCAGGCCAGGGCAGTGCTGGGGGGCAGCTGGGGGGCCGGGGGGTCACATAGGTGGGCTGCACGCATCTCCCCCGTGATCAGCGAGACGTCGGGAATGGCCTCCGCTGCTGGGACGGCCGGTGGGAGATCAACGTGTGCACAGGCACCTGCCGGGAAACGGTAACGTTAGCCTGATGCTCGTGTCTGTCCTCCAGCCAGCACAAAGCTGGGGCCACTGCAGCCTCCAGGCAGGGAGGCAGGGCAGGGCACGCGCCAGGAGCGTGTTGGGCAGATGTTTTCCAGCTGTTACCTGGCAGCAGGTCTCTGAAGTCAGCGAAGTAGTTCCCTGTCCACTCCCGGGCCGGATTACAGGCCAGCTCCAGCTCATAGGGCGTCACGATGGGCCGGTAGAATTCGCTGGAGTCCAGCAGGGTGTTCTGAGCACAGGCCACCAGCACAAAAATGTCCACCTCCAGGAAGTTGGCCAGCTTGGCAGGGTTCGGTTTCCCCACGGCCAGCGTGTAGCTGCGCTTGCCGGCCCGGCGCAGAAGCTGGCGGAGGTGCTGCAGCACGGTCAGGTAGCCCGCCACACCCAGGGTGCCCACCAGGATGCCCACCACCCGGGCATCCCGGGCCCGCTCCACCAGGTAGAGGCGTCGCATCAGGGCCCGGTTGACGTTGAGGGTCTCGCGACGGCCACAGCCGGTGGCAGGATCGAAGGAGCTGAAGAGGCAGCGGTTCCAGGTCAGCATGAAGCTGGTGAGGGCCAGGCCCTCGGCTCCCACGTAGAACATGGCGCAGTCCTGCAGCCCTCCCAGTGCCTCCACTGGGAACTGGCGACCAAACTGACGCACCTCCCCAGGTGGTGTGGGCCCGGTAGAGTCCTCACACACCACCCTGGAGAAAACAACATTGGGGTACTCGGGGCACAACTGCTGCTCCAGCTCACCTGAAGGGAGAGAGGAGTGAGAATGAACCACAGCCACAGACCTGACCCACAGAAGGTGGGACAGCAAATTAGAATCATAGAATCGTCTAGGTTGGAAGAGACCCTTGGGATCATCGAGTCCAACCATCTATCCTACTCTACAAAGTCATCCCCTACACCATGTCCCTTAGCACTGAATCTAAACGGCCCTTAAACACAGCCAGGGATGGTGACTCCACCCCCTCCCTGGGCAGCCTATTCCAATGCCCTATCACTCTTGATTAGGGGAGAGGAGAGGACAAAAATCAAGGCTGACAGAGTCTGGGGACTGCCTGCCTGCTGCTGCCTCTCCCCCTGGCAGCTCTGTAGAGCTCAGAGAGACTCCCTCCCTGCCCCAGACCACTCACCCATCGCGTGGGCATAGATCACATCACTCAGTACCACCACACGGCTCTGCCGGTCAGGGTAGAGCTCCCGGAAGGCTTCTGTGCAACGCCCAATGTCCAGGGGCTGTTGCCCAAAGATGTGCAGCACTGGGAGCTTTCTGCAGGGGCTGAGGCAGGCCGGGCCATAGTGCAGCACTGCCTCGGCACCCGCATGCTCGGCAGCCACTTCGTCCACACAGCAGCTGTGGGGAGGGAGGACCTGCTGTTAGATGGGCTCTGCACCACAGAATCACAGAATCTTCATGGTTGGAAGGGACCTTTGAGATCGTCCAACCATTAAAAAAAAACAAAAAACAAACACCCCATCACCACAACAATCACCGCACACAACAATCTCAGGCAGTAGAGCACGCCCTGAAGTACCACATGTACACGTTTCTTAAATCCCTCCAGGGATTGTGACTCCACCACCTCCCTGGGCAGGCTGTTCCAGTGCCTGACCACCTTCTCAGTAAAGTAATTCTTCCTAATACCTAATCTAAACCTCCCGTGCTGCAACTTCAGACCATTTCCTCTGCTCCTATCATTATTCCATTGGGAGAAGAGGCCAATACCCACCTCTCTACAACCTCCTTTCAGGTAGCTGTAGAGGGCAATGAAGTCTCCCTTCAGCCTCCTCTTCTCCAAACTAAACATGCCCAGTTCCCTCAGCCTCTCCTCATATGACTTGTTCTCTAGACCCCTCACCAGCTTGGTGGCTCTCCTCTGGACACGCTCCCGCAGCTCAATGTCCTTTCTTATAGTGAGGGGCTCAGAACTGAACCCACTACTCGAGGTGAGGCCTCACCAGTGCCCAGTACAGAGGCACGATGACTTCCCTACTCCTGCTGGTCACGCTATTCCTGATACAAGCCAGGATGCTGTTGGCCTTCTTGGCCACCTGGGCAAGACCACGGAGCTCTGCCTCCTCCCTGGCATCACTATCCCAGCTCGGGCAGCTCCATTCCTCAGCCCTGCCAGGCAGGGGACGAGCAGCCCCGTTGCTGCCCCCGGGACGCCCCCGCCCCGCAGCCCCGCACTGACCTGCCGTACGTGGTGTCTCCCAGGACGTACATCTCGGCCCCGGTCGCCGCCTCCATCCGGGCCGCGACCGCCGCTGCGTCCGCCAGGAGCTCGTCAGGGAACTGGAGGGCAACCTGGGGGGAGGCAGGGTGTGAGGCACCGGGTCGGGGCGGCCCGCAAGCCCCGGCCAACGCTCCACTCTCAGCCACGCTCACCTTGCGGAACCCCCCGCCGCGCACGAAGGCGGCGGCCCGGCCCATCTCGTAGAAGCCGTCAAGGTCCCCCCGCGGCGCCGCCGCCGCCGGGCCCAGCTCCCGCCGCAGCGCGGCCTCCCCGTCGCTGCTGAAGGCTGTTGCCATGGCGCCCCGGGGCCGGGGGTCAGGCCCGCCACGCGAGACCCCCGCGCCCGCTTCCGGGCTGGGGTGCGGAACCTGCCAATGAGCACTCGGCACCGCCCTCCCCGTTCCCGGAAAGCCCGCCCCTGACGGAGCGGAGCCTATCGCGCTTCAGGGCAGGGCGGAGAGGGGAAGGACAGCCAATGGGAAGAGCCGCTCGTCGCGATTCTTTCTGGTCTATGTAGTTCTCTTGCGGCGGTCAGGCCGGACAGCCAATAAGCGTGCGCGGTGGCGGCGGTGGCGTCACGTGTTTTCCGCTCGGGCGCTGCGGTTCCGCTCACGTGTCCCCCGCGGGTCAGGTGACGCGCTCGCGCCCGGCCGGCTCTCTCCGCTCCGTCCCGTCCCATCCCGTCCCGTCGCGCCGCCGCCGCCATGACGGGGCTCGCCCTGCTGTACTCGGGGCTCGGCCTCGCCTTCTGGAGCACGCTGCTAGGCGTCGGTCAGCGCTGGGAGCGGGGGCAGAGGGGCTGGGGGAGGGCAGAGGGGGATCTGTAGGCCTGGGCCGGGCGGTGGGTGACAGACCCGGGCTATGGGGCTGGGCCGTGGGGCAGGAGGGGGCTCTGGGCGTGAGGAGGGACTGTATCTCGGGCTTGTGTCCGTGCGGGCTGCTGCCTTCTGGAGAGGGGCTGGGGAGGGTCGCTGTGGCGTGGAGAAGGGAGGTGGTGGTCGAGGGGGTGCTGCGTTGTCCGTCCCCCGGTGGCCGAGCTGCCCTGGGGCAGAGGTAGGAGGGCTGGCCTGTCGCCTGCCATGGCACCGGGAGCGCTGCTCTGGGGCTCTTTGGCCTGGACATCACCCCTTGGACACTTTGGAGGCTCAGCCCCCCAGCAGCACCGTGTAGCTGTCAGCTGCTATTGGGTGCGCAGCTATCGGTGCTCTGAGCCTGTCTGTCCTGAGCAGCTGATTTGCTTCTCGGTGTGTGTGTGTGTGTGTGTGTGTGTGTGTGTGTGTGTGTGTGTGTGTGTGTGTGAAGGTGCTGGTGGCAGTCAAGGTTGTGTTTGGATCTGGCAGATCGGGGGAGGTAAAGGCAGGTGCCTGGTTTTTCAGGCTGTGACAGTTGATGTCTCCTGGACGGAGGAGATGGTCCTGCCGCTTAGCCAAGCTATGGCAGCACAAGGAAATGTGCAAGTTTGGATGATTGCAGAGCTGGTGCCTGGCTGTTTTGCAGCTTCTGGCAGCCTAGGGTCTGTTGCTGGTGGCATTGTGGATGGATTTAATGCTTCCTGGGAAGGGGATGACTCCAAGAGGTAGCTGGAAGATTTTATGCTGAAGTTGATGGTGATTTCCTCTTTCACTGTAGCGTGAAGTGACCACAAGCCAGGCAGAAGCTGGGGAGACCTTGGTTCCTGCCTCTGTTTGGGTGAGGGGAAGGACAGTCAGAAGCTGAGGGTGTCTCACTCTCTCGTGTTTCCAGGGCCTGGTGAACCCAGTGCTGGGCACAGGGCTGCCTTCCTGGGCTCTCTGAGTCATGCAGCTCAAACCAGCGCAGACACACACTGCGAACTTTAGACTGTTGGAAAATATCAACAAGCTCAGCCCAGATGCTTTTAACTTCCCCTGTCCTGTTGCAATCCCTTTTCAGGGAAGGAGCGAGCAGTGTTGCGGTGGTGCCTCTTGGTGCTTTCCCTCCTTGTTCCTGGGCTCTGCTTTGGTGCTCCAGTCCCACTGCCCTGGCTCTTTTCTGTCCTTCTGGCTGCAGGGCTGGGAGTCAGAGCTCACGGGAAAGCATCATTCACCCTGTTTCTTTTGTATATGAATCTAAGGCTATACCTGCTCTTGAAGAGACGGAAGGTGCCCTGAGGATCTGCCCTGAGCTGGTTGTAGCCCTTCTTTACCACTCCTGGGGAGTGAGGGCAGCAAAAGCTGGCTGGGTTCAGTTCCTGCTCAGCCAGCCAAGCAGCAAAACCAAAACATAAGTTACAGACCTGCCAGGCCCAGCACCATAGATCATCCCTGAAGGTCGCCAGGTGTGCGGGCTGGGAAGTGGCCTCCCGACACGCTCCTGTGGCACCAATCCTTATTTGTGTGTGTCGCTGCAGGGGAGGGGGGCACCACAATTCTCCAGGCAGAAGGAGTGACTGGTTCCTGTTTCGGGGGTTGCTCATCTGACAGTGCCTGTATGTTCACCCCGTGCGTGGAGTGCTGAGCCGCGAGTCGTGTGTGGAGGGGTTTAGCACACAGGGACAATGGAGACATCCCTGCTGTGAGGCTGGCAGGTCTCCCTGGGCTGCAGCACTCCAAGGCTCTCCCACAGCATGAATTGTCCTCAAGCCTTGGCTGTGGACAGGGCAGGGCTTCTCCAACCTGGGGCACATGGTCCTGCCCCTGTATTGCTATTAAGCACATGGCTGTCTTGCCAGCACCTTGGCCTCCAAGCTGCAATTCTGGAGCTGGGGGGAGGGAGCAGTGGGACACATGCAGTGGCCTCTTTGCTGCATTTAAGCATTTCTTCCATTTCCTCTTTTTCCATCTGTATGGTCAGTGTTACGCAGCTGTTGGCTCTAGTGAGCAATGGTAAAGAGCCTTCACCCTCTTTATCTGGTGTGGAGCAGACAGTGCCAGACGGGCAGGTCTCTCTCTTTTCCGGTTGCATGCTACAAGTCATGCAAAGAGTGACTGTCTGTTCTGGTCGGTAGTCGTGGTTCCTTCTTGCAAGCTCAGAGCAAGGCAGGGTTTCAGTGCGAGCACCTTTGTGTCTGCTTGGGCTGCTGGGTGTGATTCCAAGCTGTGATTCAGCTTGGAAGAGGAGCACTTGGGGTACAGCAGGGTGAGCTGCCCTTGTAATCCCTCCCTGGAAAGGAAGGGCTTTTCAGGGCTGCTCTTTGGTGTCTCCTGCCTGCGTTGGAGTACAAATTTCTCTAGAAGTTACTAACCTTGAGGGAAACACTGAGGACAGCAGGCACGTCTTGAACATCCACACCTTGAAAAGGGGAGTGCTAGGAGGCAGCTGCAGCTTCTGGGGTTGATGGGTTCCTGGGGGGTGACATGGACCGTGGTGGGATGGTGATGGAGCAGCATGTGATGATCAATCAGGGCACAGCTTCACACCTCTCTCCTCCCTGAGAGAGAGAAGAGCTCATGGCTGGTCACCCAGTGCTGTAGCTCTCTACGGGGCTGAGCTGTTGGGTGATGTGGCTGGAGACCGTGCTGGGGCACAGGGCTCCCTTCAGCCCAGCATGGCCTGTGGATGCTCAGCAGAGTCAGGGAGGAGAAAATGGGTGCAACAATCACACCAATCCTCAGTGAAAAGGGGGATGGGGTCTGGGAGTATCATGGGTCTGGGCTGTCTCTGTCCTGTGCTGATATGGGGGGGATGGGGTTTCTGGGGCTGGGGCACCCTGCCCCACAGCTCTGCACGCCCGAGCCAGTCCCAGTAACCCTTCTGCATGCTGTGGTGTGCTCCTGGGCTTCTCCCTCTGGGCTCTGCAGGTGTGGGAGGAAATGGAAGCGTTAGGCTAGTCACTGGTGCCTGTCTAAGGTTCCCATGTCACTCTTGCTTTCCAGGGATCTGCTACACAATATTTGACCTGGGCTTCCGCTTCGATGTGGCCTGGTGAGTTCCCTGTAAATACCAGCATCCTCCCCACCAACACGGCCTCCTCACAGGGCTGTGTGGGGAAGTGGTCAGTGTTGGCAGTGCCTGCCAAGGGACAGCACTTGCTTTTGAGCAATAGGCAGTGGTCACTGCATCACAGAGGAACAAGAGGGATCTGTCCCTGTGAGGTGGGATAGATGCAGCCTACACGTATGTGTGTCTGGCTCCATATAGGGTCCTTGTGCAGCCATCACTGCCTTTCCTGCCTCTGTCCCAGCAGCCTCACAGCCCAGGCTTCCCCTTCACAGTGAGGGTTTGGGAGGAAGGTCTTGGTCCATGCAGATGAGGGTCCTCGGTCGCTGGCTGGCAGAGAAATGCTCTTGTGTCCCACTGTCCGGCAGTGCCCAGCCCATCTCAGTCTGTATGATGGGGTGGGGGGTACCTGTTGTGGGGCTGTGCACCATGACTACAAGGGCTCAGCATGTGTGCTAACTCAGGGCACTTCTTCCTCTTCAGGTTCCTGACGGAGACTTCACCATTCATGTGGTGCAACCTGGGCATTGGTCTGGCCATCTCCCTGTCCGTGGTGGGAGCTGCTTGGTGAGTGGGGCTGGTTCTTCAGCAGGCTCTCGCTGTCCCACCTTGGTAGTTGCTTAGATAGTGTGGTTTCCCACAGCAGGGCAGGGGCAGAACAGTGTGTACGTGCAGGAGTCTGGGGCTGAATGGGTTACTGCAGCAGTGGGGCCAGGTTGCTGGGCTCCTGGAGTTCTGGACAGACCACCTCATGGGCTGCAATGGCAGTGGAGAAGCAGGGATACCCCTGGCTCACTGGAGTTTGTGTCCCTGAGCCCAGGCTGTGCAGCAGTGGCTCTTGTTGCCCCGGCAGTTCTGCTGGTGTAGGTGGTGGAGCTTGGGACCACTGGTACCCTGAGGGTGGGCAGACCAAGTTCACGGTGTCCCCCAGCTGCACGCCCAGTTCTTTGCTCAGCTGGAAGATCCTGGTTTCCCTGTTGAATCCTTCAGTGAGTACCAGACCCTCCACCAACCACCCTTGTCTGCCACAGGGGGATTTACATCACGGGCTCCAGCATCATCGGTGGTGGAGTCAAAGCCCCTCGGATCAAAACCAAGAACCTGGTGAGGTAAGCACAGACCTGGGGTTAGTGCTGGTGCCGTGCCTGGGCAGGGCAGGTCCCAGCCCAGTGCACAGGCTCCTGTCCTGTCTCTAGCTGGGTGCTGCTGGCAGACTGTTCCTTGCTGAGCTGTTTGCTTTCAAAACAAAGAGCCCTAAAGGAGCCAGAGAGCTGCTTTGAAGAGTCACTGTGTGATATCATGGAGTGAATGGGCCCAGTGTGTTCAAAACAAACACCCTGAGATCACACTTCCTGCCCTCATGGAGGCTTCCCCTGGCCAGACCGTGCACAGCCCTTCCCCAAAGGAGCAAAGGGGGCTGGTGGAGGGTAGGGCTTCCTGGGTCTGCTTCCCACAGGGTCATCGCAGCTTCCTCGGGTGATACAGCACAACCAGCACCAGGTCTTTGTCCTTGGCAGCTCTCCCTTAGTTGAGAAGAAAGCAGTGGGTAGGTCGGGCTGCCTTTCTGCCTTTGGCAGCAGTGGGATGGGCTCAGATACCCCTGAGGGGTCTGGCTGCTTGCTGGTCTGGCACGAATTGGTGGGCGCTGCTCGGGATGGGGTAGAGCCTGGGACACTGTGCTCACACTGACTGGGACACTGTGCTCACACTGACTGGGACACTGTGCTCAGACTTTGCCTTTCTCCACAGCATCATTTTCTGCGAGGCTGTGGCCATCTACGGGATCATCATGGCAATTGTCATCAGTAACATGGCTGAGGTATGGGAGAACCTGGGCTGACCTGCCTCAGGGCCACGGTGGGGATGGGCAGCTGGTCATGGGACAGAGTTGTGAGCAGTGGCCCTCTAGGAACTTTGGACACTGTGGCTCTGGGAGCCCCTGGGCCGGTGGTCTGTGCAGTGGCCCTTGTCCATGCTGAAGAGTGGGTTGGGGGAGCACACACAAGGCAGATATCAGGAAGCCACCCATGTGTGGCTGCCTCGTGCTGTACTGGGAACAAATGCTTCTCCTGGAGACCACAGACTTGCCAGTAACCTACAGCCTGTGCTTTCTCTCAGCCTTTCTCTGCAGTCACCCCAGAGGCGATTGGAGCCAGGAACTACCACGCAGGTAAGTCTCTGGTGCCAAAACTGTGAGCATTCCAACATCCTGATTGTCACCTCCTGCTGCTCCCTCTGCCCTGAGCCGTAGAGAATGCGACTGCATGGCCCAGCTCACCTGGCCTGTAGCCTGCTGCAGGTGTCTGGAGGACATGTGACTTCTGGCAAAAAGTGGCTATTTAGTTACTTTCTTGATGCCCTCCTGCACTCAGCTGGGCTGTGCTGCCCTGCAGCAGCACGGCTCCTCCCTTTGGCAGCAGCAGAGTGCTGTCACCTGCTGGCCTGGTGCTGCAGGAGCCAGGATGTGCCCTGGGGTGATCCTGTGCCCCAAACAGGAGGATGCTGCTGGTACTTGATAGCTCTGGGTCTTCTGTCCCCTCGAGACAGCACTGCTGCAGTGTGCCCTGGGTGCGGGTTACCCCCTGCTCTTGAAGTGTTCCTCTCTCACAGGTTTCTCCATGTTTGGGGCTGGCCTGACCGTGGGGTTGTGCAATCTCTTCTGTGGGGTCTGCGTGGGCATCGTGGGCAGCGGGGCTGCCCTGGCTGATGCACAGAACGCCAGCCTCTTCGTCAAGATCCTGATTGTGGAGATCTTTGGCAGTGCCATAGGGCTGTTTGGGGTCATCGTTGCTATCTTGCAGGTACCTGCCTCCTGAGGCCGCCAGGCTTATGTGAGCACAAGGTGCCTGTCACCCTGGGTGCTCTTCAGCTCCAGGGAGACACACCTGGGCTCCAGCACAATCCTCTGTGTTGGGACAGGGAGGCTGCTCGTGAGGTGTGGGGTGTCGCAGCTCTCTCCATGCTATGCCTATTTGCAGCAAGGAGAGCTCTTTTGGTGGCTCCTCTGAGCAACTGTCACCGAGAGTGTCACCTTGGGTGCACCCTGTGTGATGCTGGTGTCTTAGTGGTGGAGCTGGGTGGTGCTGGGGTGCTGGGCTGTGGTTTGTGGGGCACGGCCTAACCTCTTTTTCTTTCTTTCTAGACATCTAAAGTAAAAATGGGCAACTGAGCCCTGTCCCACCCAGCCTGTTCCAGCCCGCCCCAAGAGGTGCTGTATATATTTATTTAATGTTTCTATCCTTGACTGGGGCGGGAGCTGCCCGGCGGCGGGAGCGGGACCCCGGCTGCGTAGAGCCCTGTCCCGCTGATGGATTGGCCCCTTCGGAAGAAACAAATTTTCTCTGTGTGAATCTGCTCCCAGCAGCCTGGCCCAGCCTGTGGGGCCCTGCCGCTGCGTGTCCCCGGTGTGTGTAGAATCAACCACCAGTGCAATTCTGTGTCCGTGAAATAAATATGGTTCTCGTCCAAGGATGCAGCTCTTCCTGCGCGTGCCGGGGAGGCTTCCAGAGAGCAAGTGCTGATTTGGGCTGACCCCCTGCTTTTAGATTCCTCTCTGTGCCTCTGGCAAAGCCCCTGCCTGGCTCCAGGAGCCTGGTGATGTCCTCCCTCTGGGGGGTTTATCCTGCTGCCTTCACGGCTTGCAAGAGGCCACCCTTTCTAGGCTGTGGGAACACAGAGCTCTGCTTTGCTGCCCGGAGCAAGTAGGAGGCTGCTGGAGCAGGCAGCAGGCAGCCTCCGCGCTGCTTCTGCCAGGCTCCTGCCAGCCCTGGCACTGCCCCACGCGAGGCATGCTGGAGGCACAGGCACAAGCTGGTTTGGACCTTTCGGCTCCCATCCAGGTAGTTTAGTACAGAGTGTCCGTAGCCCCATTGTGCAGCTGGGGAGCACCAGACGGGCAGAGAAGCAAAGCTTTTTGCCCCTTGCAAGGCTGTCTCCAGCCAAGAGCTCCCTTGTGTGAGTGCTGGCTGGGTGTTGCTGCCTGGGCAGGTGCTGCTGGGTGCTGGAGATCTCCGGTCTGCAGTGCCCCTCTGTCCCAGGGGCCCTGGCAGAGCTCCCAGGGGTGGGGATGCTTCGTGCTGGCTCTGCTCCCCTCTCCCTGGCCGTGGTGAATGCAGCGTGGGGAAGCCGGCTGTGGACAGCTGGGCCTGCAGTTCTTCTGCTGCTTGGGGGAAGGGAAGAACAAGGTCTTCCTGCCTCCTCTCTGCAGAGAGCCTGGAGCCGATGCCTCTGCAGTCTGCTGTATCCAGCACAAGGCCCTCATCCTGCTGTGCTGCCAGTTCACCTTCATAGGGGAAGCATCGATTCCCTGGTGCTGTTAGTGCTGCCTCAGAGCGGATACCCATCTCTCTTCCCACCTGGATGGAACAAGCTGGGGCAGCAGTGGGGCTGTCAGAACCGGGGAAGTGTTCGTGCCTGCTGATTTTTTGCTCTTGAGACTAGTGCAGCTGCCTCTGCATGGCCTCTCCCAGCTCTGCTTCCCGTTTTCCTGTGTGTTTTTGAGACAGCAGTGTCTCAGCCCAGGGCGTGGGAAGACTGCTGGGGCAAACCAAGCCACTGTCCCTTCCGGCAGCGCTCACAGCTCGGGGGCTGGAGGCTGTGACACGAGCTCCGTGTGCCCCACATAACGGGGGGGACACAAGCTGGGCTCTGCCTGCTCAGAAGAAAGGGTGTCTGGTGTGGACAGTTTTGCCTGTCCTGCGTGAGGGCTGTACCCCCATCCCCTGGCATTGCCACTGCTGTGAGCCAGAGATGTCTGAAGCCCTTGGGAGCTGCAGGACCATCCTGTCAGACCCACATTGAACTCGGGGGGACTGTCTTCAGGAAGGAGATACCTGGGGTTGGAGAGCCTGTGCTGACAATAGAGAAGCTACTCCATGGGTTAATCGTCATCTTGATCATTCTTCTGTTTTGAAAGGCTCACCCTGTTGTCTTTCAGCAGCAGGTTTGGCCCTGCCCTGCCTTGGCTTGATAGAAATGCATCCACTGTGAGGAATGTACCTCTGCAAGGTGCTTTTCTGCCCTCCGAATCCCACCTGTGTGTATTGTGGCTTTGGCAGGGAGTGGGCTCTGGGGCTTGCCCATGGGCCCTGTGTGAAGACACAAGACCCACCAGGACTGGTTGTGCGGTAGTGGTGGTAGCCCACGGCCACCCACAGCCACCACTTCCTTGGGTGGGCTAAATACCTGCTGCCAAGCATGGAGAAAGCTTGAGCGGGGCTCCAGCATCTCACAACACGTCTCGTTTGAGAGCAGCAGCAGCGGTGGGAGTTGAAAGATGATTTGGTGACCACCTGTAAGTACTCATGGGGGCAATGCCACCTGCTAAAGAGCCAAACCAAGAGTGGGAGGCAGAGGTTGGATGGTTTTCAGCAGGGGTGGAGCAGGGCTGGGCTGCTTGGGTGCTGCTGTGATCTCTGCTATAAGGTTGTCTTCTGAAGGGAGCTGTCCTGGGCAGCGGGAGAGCCCTTGCTCGGGTGAGGGCATGACAAGAGGCCTCGAGGGACAGGGGCTGCTCGACACGGTGACAAGCACCATGGTGGGGCTGGCAAGAAGGGAAAGGCTGAGAGCGGCACCAAAATTACTCATGGTGGGCCGAACTCTGGGTGGGACCAGCCCGAGCTCTTTCGGTGATGCTGTTGTGGCAGGGAGGGTGAAATCCATTGCTAGGAAACACCGAGGAACATGGAAAGCCGGGGGGGGTGGGAAGAGAAAGGAACCACAAATAGGTTGTGATGGGCGCGGAGCCAGCACCGCCACCCGGGGACGCAGCAGTCACCCTGGGTGGGTGAGAGCGCTGCCACCCACGCTGCCAGAAAGGGAAGGAAGGGGGAGAAAGAAACACCGAGAGACCCTGTCTCCGTGTCCCCGGGTGGCGG